TGCTGCAAATATATTTCTTGAGTCAATCAATAAATTTAAATAAAAATATGCAGGGTGGAGGGGAAGGAAGTGAAGAGAGAAGGGATGAAGATATCAGGTGTGCCGTCAGACCTTATTATAATCACTTCTGTCTCCGATATTACTCCTTAAAACTCATCAGAGCGAGGCATGAGAGTGATCAGAATAGCCTTTACCTCTACTAGCTGCTAGAACTTGAACCAAATAAGACAGGAATGGTCCAAGGACTATTCTAATATTCTGTACCAACAGTTTCAGCAAGACTGTCATGTTACTAGAGGCAGTGCCTTCTGTAGACACTGATGGAGGTATGGGGGTGGGGAAACTGAAGGCCAAAATAGAGGTAGAAAGGTAAGGTGGTCAGAGTCTGGATGGCCTGTCCTGAGTCTCCAGCTCCAGTCCTGGATGCACAGATAGCCAGTGAGCCAGGCCTTTCTGAGGACTCCTACAGATTTACATGCTAAAATTTCTCTCTCCTTGCTTTGACTTTTTCTGTTCCTCCTTGCTACTTATACACTTACTGATCCCCTAGGTCCCTAGGAGATCAAAATGTAAGCCAGAGCAGGAGATAGGGCTTGCATTAATTTCAGTACCTTTGTGTCTTGCAGTAAAGTAGAAAATCTTGCATCTTAAGTCCTTTTTGTCCTGGGATGCTATATACAGTATTTATGTTTTTCCCCCATCAATCAGTTTTTTAAGAGACTTGTTTTCTCTAACGTCCAAATATGATCCATTGTTAAGACTGGGTGTGTTAGGAGCACAGGTTTGGGAGCCAGGCAGGCACTACCCCATTGTAGAGTGACCTTGGGTAAGTTCCTTTGAAGTCTCTTCCCAAAGCTGCTTCTACTGACTGGGTCTAGGTAACTGCAAACTGGAAAACCCACTACCCTACAGTCTGCCTACCGCACCTGCTTCATGCAGGGACCTCATAAGCCCATCTCCTGTCTCTTTTATGACAATTCCTGTAATTAAGTACAAGTGGGGCAGCAAAATAACTTGCATCAGGCTGTGTAACTAGGGAGTACCTGGGGTGCAGGACCACAGCCACCTTTCCCCCAGGCAGTCAAGTCACTTGGGTGGTCACAGACTTTCTTTATCCTTGGTGTTTTGGTAGCAATCTGGAAAACACTCCCTGGTTCTGGCTTTCCATGGTCCTAACCTCTATTTCTTCCTCTTTAAAAAGTGGGGTGGGCAACCAGCCCAGTGATGACCACTAAGATGCTGCAAGAAGCACCCCAGGCTCCCAAGCTGGAGTGGTGGGGTGCCCAGGGCCTTGCTCACTCCCCCCGCAACACCCACAACCAGCCAGTGATGACCCCTGAGCTGCTACCGGAAACACCCTTAGCTCTCAAGGTGGGGTGATGGGGGGCTAAGGGCTTCAGCCACACACCCCTTACACCTGCATCCAGCCTAGCAATGATTGAGCTGCTGCTGGAAGCTCCCTGGTTTCCCCTACCAAAATGAAGGGGGTGCCACTGACCTCCACCATATCCCCCCTCCTTCCTCCTACTCTCGCCCTATTTCACTAGCCCTTTCCTTCTCCCCTTTTCCCCCAACTGTTGTGCAACATCTTAGAATGTAAAGAAATAATAATAAAAATAAATAAATTAATTTAAAAAAGCAAACAAGCAAAAAAATAAATAAAAAGACGGTTGGGCTTGGAATAGCTTGAGTTCCTTCCTGGTGTGGATCCAGGAAGTTGGGCATAGGGGCCTGCGGAGTGCATCTAATATGCAAGAAGCTCTCCCCAAAATTGAGCTTTTGAGGAGGAAATGGCCATACAGGCCAAAGAAGACGTCGGCTCACTTGCTCTGGGCTGGAATGATAGCAGGGCAGTTGGTTAGGCTGGCTATCTCATGCTGATCACAAGCTCCGATGGGCAATTATGTATGTCTTTGATTAATAAAAAATGGGGCAATGAATGAATAGTTAATCAGTGCAGTCTGGTAGGAATGCTGTCTCAGAACCTGGGCTGGGGGTGAGGCAGGGAGTAACTAAGGGGTCCTTGGAGGTGAAGAGGCAGGCAGCCCTCCAGGGCATGGCTTCTGAAATGCCCTTCAGTCCTGGTTCTTGGCTCCCTGATTCTGTGGATGGGGTTTTCTGGCAGCTCTGGGAGCATGAGACCAGGAGATAGGGTTGAGCTGGTGGGAAAATGGAGAAAAATACGGTCCATGCCTGTAGGGAAATTATAGGAAAAGTGGTCAGGGCTCCTCAGATGTTCAGAATCTTGCCGAGTATTTGATGTAAATATGCATGTGCGCCTAGGTGTTCCTTGGTTATTGTCTAATTGTGCATGTGCACCCAGGTGTTCCTGGGTTATCAGACTTAAGTGTAAAGGACAAGTGGCTCTGATCCACAGTGCCCCTGCCCCCAGGATGCCCTGGGGGGCCACAGGGAGGCTGTTGCTGGAAGCTGCTGAGGAAGCTGAGGACTGAGCTCTGTGTCATCTGCCAACAGCTCCTGGGATCTTTCCCAATTATCTAGCTTGTGGACCTGTATGTGAGGGGTCTGGTGACCCAGCCGGGCCATGAGGGGTCTGTGATCCAGTCTGTACAACGGGTTTGAAGGATCTGTGGGTCCTAACCCCTAGCCCTGACAATACAAATGGAAAACTTAGTGTAGCTAAAACAACAAAACAGTTTGGCTTTAGTTATGAATTGCCCAGCCATGCCATTGGCGTAGTCACTTAGCAGTACAATTGGCCACGTTGGCAGGATTCCGACAATGGCCCTAACACGACAATGTCTTCCCAAGGGGTCAAGGCAAAGCACATGGAATAGTGTGCGTGCGCACGCGTGTCTGCACGCAGCTGTGTGTTTCCTCCGTGTGCTGTGAACCTGCGATCCGTGGGTGGGCCTGTGCGTGTGACAGTATTAAAACTAACTTGGTTAGGGGACAGAGAGGCAGGGGAGCTGGGCGGCCACGCTGCTGGGGTTATAGAGGGAGAAAAAGAAGACCCGAGGGAGAGGTCAAAAGGGGTGGAGAGGTGGCGAGCCAGGGAGGGGGAGGAGAAAGCGCTGGGAGGGGACGGGGACAGGGACAGGG